CCGATCTCCTCCAATCCCCAATTTTTGATGGTCTCCCAAACGGATGGAATCCTCCCGCCACCGTGCCTTCAGCATGTGGTGGAGCGCCCCATGATCATACTCATGTTGGTGTTGAAGGGGCTGTGCGAGTCGACGAAACAAAACAGACACACACACACACACACACGCACACACACACGCACGCACGCACGCACGCACGCACGCACGCACGCACGCACGCGCGCGCGCACGCACGCACACACACACACACACACACACGCACACGCACACGCACACGCACACGCACACGCACACGCACACGCACACGAACACGCACACGCACACGCACACACAACCAAACAACCACACAACCACACAACCACACAACCACACAACCACACAACCACACAACCACACAACCACACAACCACACAACCACACAACACACACAACCACACAACCACACAACCACACAACCACACAACCACACAACCACACAACCACACAACCACACAATCACACAACACACAACACACAACACACAACACACAATACACAACACACAACACACAACACACAACACACAACACACAACACACAACACGCAACACACAACACGCAACACACAACACACAACACACCACACACCACACACCACACACAACACACAACACACAACACACAACACACACACAACACACAACACACAACACACAACACACAACACACAACACACAACACACAACACACAACACACACACACAGCACACACAACACACACACCACACACAACACACACAACACACACAACACACAACACACACACACATCTGCGAGACGTTCCCAGCAATGCTGGGCGCTCCTGGCGTTTTTCGTGTGGGCCTCCGGGAGGCCACATAAGCCCAGACCGCCTCCAACACCCCTCAAGAACCTTCTGAGCATTACACCATACAAAGAAGCCCTAAGCTTGAGTCGGGCGTGTCCCCCTACGGGGGGATTTTCGACGAAAAATAAGAAATACTCCCAGAATGCCCCAAAAGGGTCAAAAAATACCCCCAAGATAGTCCCCAGACTATTTTTTGACTATTTTGGGGGTGTTTTCTATTTCTCGTCGAAAATCCCCCTGTATGGGGGGACAGGCCCGTCTTAACCCTGAGCAGCAACGCTGGCAGAACGCACACGGTGGGTCCACGTCACGGGGGGTGTGCTCGGTGTGGGCTGCCGGTGCCGCGCGCCTTCGAGCACAGCGCGACACCGCCCGGCGCGCGGGCACGGCAGCGCACGGCACGCTCCTCGCGCTCTGGAGACCCCGGGGGAGGCGACAGGGCACGCCACGCGGGCACGGCACGGCACGTGGCTTTTCGCACTCGGGAGCCCGAACACGGCACGGCACGGCACGGCACGCGGCACGCGGCCACGGCGCGGCACGGGACGGAAGGCTGGCACGGCGCAGCACACGGCACGGCACGGCACGGCCCGCGGGCACGGTGCGGGCACGCTGGCGGCACACGTTCCGCGCACACTGCTTCCTGGAAACAGGTCCCTTCGAAGCCAGATCAAACCCTCGACCACGTGCGCTGTTTGGGGAAACGTTCAACCAGAGGCCCAGGGCACTCCCGGCAGCCCCGAGGGGCCGTCCTGGGACTCCCTGGGGGAGCCTCCGGGGGACCGTCGCGGCGGCCTCGGGCGCTGGCCCGGGAGACGAAACACCGCAGAGAGCGTCTGCACTTTGGGCCCCCCTCGCGCCCAGGACCGCCCAGGCCGGCCCCGAAGCCCCGCCCCAAAAGGGCCTCCGAGGCCGAGGCCCCCAGGAAGGCCCCGCGAGGGGCATCCACGAGGGCCCTGGCGACCTGGGCACGGTGGCGGACTGAGCCGAAAACCGCTGGACCCGCCGCCCCCTCTCGATTTATCAAAGGGCTGCCTGGCGTGCCGAATCCTATCGGTTTTGGTTTTGGTTCTTTTCCCGCAAGAACTCCCCCTGGGGCTCCGGCGCGTCCCGCCGGGGTCCCGGGAGATTGCCGAAAACCCAGTTGCAAAGGATTTTCCTGCTCCAGACGGCTCCAAGATTTCCCAGGATGGCCTCCAAGTTGCTCCAAAACGGCCAAGATGGCCTCAAAGACGGCTAAGATGGCTCCAAGATGCACCCAAGACGGCCCAAGATGGCCTCAAGATGGTCTAAGACGGACCAAAGGGCCTGGAAGAGGCCTCCAAGACGGCCCAAGAGGTCTCCAAGAGGTTCTCCAGGAAGGCCCGACGAGGCCAAACTCATTATTTTTCATAGGTTTTTGAAGGGTTCTGGCATTTGCGCCTCTTCGGCTTCCCGACGGCCCAAGACGGCCCAAGCGGCTCCCAAGATCGACCAAGAGGC